TGTGCAGGGACATCAAGATCCCAAGAGTTTGACATTCATAATTGGTAATCTTGTGTGTCCTGTTGAAGCCTGTGGTTGTTCCTATCATGCACAGAAGAGCATAAAAATATGCACTTGTAAAACACGTGATTGAAGATGATAATAGTACGAAATGGCATCTAGAATCATAGGAGCCGGAAGCTGACCCTATCAGATCATGATCAATCAATGCTACGGGAGATTTTGAGAATAATTTAGATTTTTTCTTTCTTCTTTCCTTTTATCTTTTTATTGCCAGAAGAATAATCTAGATTGAGTTTTCCTGGAGCATGTTTCTTCTCTTTGATGTTTCAGAGAAATGTCTATTTCCTCATATATAGAGACGCACTGAGGAATATGTACTTCCAACTTCAAGAAGAAGCATCAAAATAGCAGCAAAGAAATTATCTTCAGGATCAGAGAGAGATTGAAAGTAAATCAATATTAACACTGGTAACTACTGGAAAGTAGGACGCAATCTTCAACAAGAACTCAGGTGTGATATATGCCACAACATACAGATGAAACGTATGGTTTGATCTTACGGCTAGTTAAAGAAGCAGTTCTAAAAATCAAAATGAAATGAAATATTGGCTAAAGGAAATAGCTTCAAGGAAATTTACCAGATCAACTAGCTGTAGGAACCTCTTAAACAATGTCCTCCCTCATCTGTCATTTTTCGTTCTTTCCTTAAATTTCCATTTTATCCTTGAGCTGCAATGAACTGTCTTTCTGAACTAACTTAAAAAAGGAGCTTGCTTTCTAGAAGGTCCAGCCTCATGCTAGATATGTTAAATGGGTCTTGGTGGCTTGAATTTTTTGGTAGGCTATTGCAATCCAACTTTCTTCTCTCTTGTATCCATGAAGGAAACTTTAACAAGAAAGCACACGTATTGGTAAGGTATGGTCGCCTCTCTGGTACTCAAGGCACACCGAACAACATTTCGCAAGAGGAAATGGTACATGCATTTTGAACAAGTGAATTGCAAGGAAAACTAATTGTACATACAAGAAAATCACCAATAGCCTATCGGGTTGCCTAACATTCCATCCAAGCTAAATTCCTCACACAAGAAAAATTACCATAATACAGAAACGTTCAGACTACCAGACTTGGGAGGCTTCTTTTGTCATCATAATTTCTATAAACAAACAGAAGAATTCCTCAAACACCAACATCAGACAAGCACAAAAAATAAATAAGAGCAAAAAAGAAGTGCAACAGCCACTTTCCTTAAAAATCCAACTTAATTTATTGTTCTAACACTTCCATGAAGCACCAAGAAACAGTTTGAAGTTTAAACACTTCACAAAAGTTTCAATTTCTCCAAATCAAACCTTTGAAGGTGATAATGTCTTGTAGCATGATCCATCACTTGGGAATATAATCTTTTAAGGCTCCATTCATCTGCTCTAAGCTTGCATTCCTTCGCCAATTCTCTACTGCTCTTCGAACAGTTGCATTTGCCTCACGAATTTCCTCACCAGAGAACTTGTGCTCAATGATCCCCAAGGGTCCAGGTTGCAGTACCCTAATCACAGTTTCCATCTCCTGCTCTAGCTGCCTTAAGAGACCATTAACAACAATTACAGCTTTTAAGAAAATTTATCAATTTAAGATGCAAAAATAAATAAAGTGCAACTCTTTTCTTAAAAAAATCAACTTTGAGACCCCTCTTTGTCTGACTATCCAAACAAGAGAAATCATTCCATTCAATTTCTGGACACCCAGAATCCATTAATCCAAACATAGAGAAAATTAACACGAATACCCAAAAAATAAATAAATAAATAAACCAATTAAATAATCTTCAAATCATGGCATGTAGTCAAGAAATCCTAGGAAACTGGAATGAATAAAGAAGACAGGGAAATGTAAATTGAAAACGTACATTCATAGTCAAGAAAAATTGAGTACCTGAAAAGTTTTGGAACAGGCACGGCATTGCCCAGTTGGAAGAAAGATGGGCGCATCCCAATCTCTATTCTGAGTACACAACTCAACCCAGGGGAGTGAAAACTGAGAAGGGAAGAGAACTGGAAACCGAAAAGAGGAAGACGGAAGTGGAACTCTGCACGTTGGTTGCAGGCAGAAATCCAGTAAAAACGCTGCCGTTTCTTTTCCCCGACGTCCTCAAAGAATTTATTTATTTTTTTCTTCTGCGCGGTTCCAGGGAGAAAAATATCGACCCACAACAATGTTTTTTTTTTTTTTTTGAAATGAAAATTAAACATTTCATTTAACCCTTTCAATTTAATTTAGTAGGGATGAATTTTATAGGAACAAAATTTAAAATTTAAGATTAATAATATAGTATGAGTTATGTCATTTAATTTTTTTCACTTTAATAAAACTCATCATATTATATATATTAATTTATTTAATTATATGACTTATTACATGTATTACATTATTGATTCAAAATTTTTATTCTTTACATTACTACTCTAAATTAAAATTAATTATTTAGTTTTTAAACTTAACAACTAGAAATTAAGTTGGAATTCCTTTATTTTGATTCCAATAAAAAGAGCTTAAAAACCAATCAAACTTAATCGATGAATTATGATTTTGGTTAATTTCAAATAACTTTTTAGCTACGATTAATTCTATATTTATAACTTCTACACACCCGTTCAATTTAAAATTTACTTTCTCAAATCTAATCGTCTTTTTTCAAGTACTTAGTGATCTAATAATTATCTTTCTAAGAAAATGTACTTAAACATGAAATTTTAAATTTTATATTTAGACATTATTAATCTTCACCTCAAAATATTTTCGAAGTTCTAAAAAAAAAAATCTAATCCTATTTCTAACTTATCAATTCTTACTTGTTATAAAGTTTAATTACTTTTTTAATTAAGATACTCTTTTAAGTACAAAAATATTGTTAGTTAAAATTAAAAACTACTAATATTATATAAGCCAGAAATTTACATTTGGACAGCTAATTTTGACCAGAGACAGTAATAATTGATGGGCGTGACTTGATCACCGAACCAAAACTTGCTTACATTTGGAATATCACACAAATCCTCAAGCATATAGAACTACAAGTTTTCACCAAATTGCCTTTCTCCCCTAATAAAATGTCAAGGTAGTGATCTCCCAACTCAAACGTGATCAGAAATAAAAACCACATTCAAGAATTAACCTATGGAAATTAATTAATTATCACACTACACATTACTACTATACAAATCACACACACGCTCTCTATCTCTTTACAGATGACCATCCCCGTCAAATCATCACGAGCTCAAGAAACTGAGTGTCGCCGCCGTTTCTGGAACGGGAATCGGGAATCCGAGTTCGCCTTGCCGCCAATTGGCTTCAGGTTGTTGAGCCTGAACAGGGCGTTTAGCTTGCTTAGTTTCTTAGTGAACGATTTGAATAGCTTGTTGGCGGGATGGGAGCGCACCAGATCCTGTTTCATTGAAACGTGGTCTTTTTCCAGATCCGTTAGCCTCATCCTCATCCGCGCCACTTCCAGCTTTAGCTCTCGGTTCTCTCTCCTCACCGACGCGTAGTTGTCTCTCGGAGAGATTGCACCGCTCCCCGCTCCGCTGCTCGATCGCTGAGGAAACTGACCGTTAATCGCACCGAAGAAGAACTGGTTGTGGCCGCCGCTCATCGCGTTACGAAGACGGATTTGCTCGAAGTACAACACCTGAACCGCCATCTGTACAGGTAACCGCTCGTTCTGTGCTGCGTGGCTGCACGCTTCTTGAGATAGTTTTTGACAGTCGATCGTTTTGCACAGCCGGTGACGTTCTGAATCCTTTATGTTTGGATGAACCTGTAACTTATTAGAAAGAAACAAAAATGATGTTTTTCTAGAACAACAATTTGAATCTATGATTCGGAAACAGAAAAATCGATTCTCACCTTGAGGAAGATATCTACAGCTCTGTATAATCCGTCGCTGACGATTCGAGCATGATCCGGAAGCAATTCTGCAAGTGCGATGAATTTCAACGGTAACAAATTTGGATCTAACGCCACTTCTGCGAGGTAATTATCCAATAATTTCGATACTTTGAGAATTGAACTCTGTTTTGGAGATCCAGGACTGTCAAAATCATAAACCATTTCGCTTTCATCTCTCAAAGGATTATCTTCATCGTCGTCTTCATCAAGATTCAGAAATATGGAGAAGATCCTGAGGATCGAATCTGTGTCGTACATGCTTGAATGACTGTTCCCGTGTGAATTCAAAGGAATCAGGATGTCTTCAAGAATTGCCTGGTCGAGTTGCAGGCCGATCCGCCTCTCCAGATCGGATCTGCAAGAAGTGGCTGCGGAGGATGCTATTGCATTTTTCAGCAAACTTGAGAGAAACGCCATTGGTACTGGACTCTTCCTGGATTGAGTCGGAAGTAAGCTTATTAATGCTTCAACAATGACTCTTTGCTTCTTCTGCTGCTCCAAATCCTGCAGACTTCCTTTAACCAAGTGAGGATCTCTCACAACAAGTCCTTGAAGAGAAGTATGAGCATAGTTTATCAGAATTTTGCTGATCATATCCTGTTTTAGGCCTTTTGATTTCACAGCAGAAAGAACTCTTTGGAAGAAATCAAGATTAAGCACCGCGAGAGACTTTCCCCACCAATCTGAGGGTGTTTCTGGTTCCATGTTTGGCATGGATTTTCCTGGAAAATTGTGGTCAAGTTTCAATAAACCAGAGGTGAGCTGCTCTTTGCATGCATTATTTGCAATTGCATTGATAAGCCTGTTAACCAGATTGATCTCTTCGGATACAGGCAGAAGGCTCTCACACTGGTGGAGAACAGATATTGAATTTGATATATTCGGAAGCACCATGTCCTTCAAATAAGCCTCAGTTCGATTTTCCAGGTTCTTCTCTGCAAACTCTTCTGTCATTTCCAGAATATGAGCTGCACATCTTAACATAGCAACATTTGATAGTGTAATCTCAAAATGTATCCCGTAACAGAATTTTGCAGCAAGCTCAAATGCCTCTGGTCCTCCAGGAAAAGAAGGCAGAGTTATGCGAGGAATTTTTGAATCTTTGACATCAAGCAACAGCTTCCGAGTCTTTCCACTCCGAGAAACTAAAGGAAACTGCAGAAGAATTACAGCCATATGATATGACTAAGAACAAATGGTACCATCAATCTCATACTGTCTTCCTTTTTTCTGTTCATCTTTCAACTTAAAACAGATTAACACTCTCCATAGTGTTCCATTCACTAAAAATTTGCTGTAGTAAACTTCCAAATAAAATTGCAGTGATAATAAAAACGGTACCAGAAATATTTAACTATATAAGGCAAGAAAAAGAACTAATTAATGAAGAAATGATGCCAAAACAAATCCCCCTACCTTATGAAGTGCAAGAAAAAGAATTAATTAATGATGCTAAAACAAATCTTCCTACCTTGTGAAGTGCAAAGCTTGATTCTCCAACTTCAAATGTAAGATCACTGGAAACATCAGAAATCGGCCTGCAAGATAGTAGAGTTGTTGAGGAGATCTAGAATGGAGAAGAAAATCTTTCAAAGAAAAAGAAATCAAGAAGGAATGCTGTGATACATGTTTGTTACTGCCAGTAATTTAGATATCAAATTGTTCTTTCTGCTCTAGGCCTGTATTAAATCATTAGTGAACTCTCTCAACTGGTACTACAGTAACAATAATACCACGGTCTTTTTCTATCAATTAAACACCTCAAAATCCACAGACAAGCCCCATGTTGATTCTTTGGCTTTACACAAAGGGGCCAAAGAAGACAACTGACAACTCAATAATTAGGAGATAAGTGGATTGCCATAGAAGCAGAATGGTAGAACATGGATGTGATACTGGGATCCAGTAGGGGTCCCTTGATTTTCAGCAGAGAGCTGTGGATGTCTTTGTTTCTGGGTGAAGAAGAAAGGAGATTTGTCATACTCAATGAACTGTTGTACAAATTTACCGTACATCTTGGAGGGCCTCCAGATAGTAAGAACACAAAAATTATTGAATACATCACCAGCCCCAGACTTTGGGTTTGTGGATCTGTGACTTTGAATGAAGACTTATAAGGCTAAGATTATAACAACTCAGAAGTAGGGTTTCATCTGTCACATTCATATGCTTAATTACTGAACTGGAAGTGCAGCTGTCTATTCTCTACTTAGGGAGGGGTCCCAGCTTAGGGGGGAAAGAAGTTACAGAATAAGAAAACGTTTATGAATCTATCTTTTAGGGGCGGCCAATTTTGGGAATCTACCAAAATAGGTCGATGTTGATCCTTGAGAAATCCCCTAACTGAATTCTCCCTTTGTTATTGACTTTCTAGTTTTTGAAATTTTTCTGAAACAATGGGAAAAATTCAACATTGGTTAAAAGGCAAAGAAAGCAAAAATTATATATCTGTGAATGCATAATGTACCTTCAGTCTACAGTTAATTTGAAAATGATAGTCCGCAGTGGTGAGAATAAAGATTGAAGCTGAAAATTTTCACAAATACTCCACGTTTTGCACTATTAGAGATTTGAAATAAGCTTCTACTTGTTCCCTGCCTAAAGTCTGGACTGTTCCTATTTTCCTATTTTCTGATATTATCTCTTCTACCATATAGTTATTGAAATGAGGCTGCTAATTGACATTAAAATCAACACAGAAGCTCTTTTGTGCACCAAGTAACTCGGACATAATTGTGTTTGGAATTTTGAGTACTTCAAAACTTGTTTTGCAGGAAATTTATCAAACAATTGATAGCAGAAGAGAAGTTACCATTCAGTGGCATGCCTTATGCTGGAGCTTGGCCGAAAAGATCTCTTCCCTGATATGCTTGGCTTCAATTCAGCAACAGTGACAACACCCATCTCCCCAAAATCCAGGGAAATTCAGATTTCAGCTTCACTGTTCCCTCTGAAAATTCAGCAAGAAACCCAACTGTTTTCAACAACCCAAATATCTCCTTTTCTTCACAATCCAATACATTGTTTCTTTCCCTCTGCTGCTGACAGATTCCCTGAGAGAACCAAGTGATCCCTCTATTTCCCCCCACTCTCTGTATGAAAAGAAAGAGAAAAGATGGAGTAAGGTAAAAGTCACTTGAGCACACGCAAGACTAAAGGAGTAGAGATGATTTTGGAAAAAAAATATATGCTTTAATGAGAGTATATAATGTGCTTAATTTAAAGTCAAGAATGTGTTGGAGTGCTTGCACTTTTCGGTGAAAGGTGGTCAGGGTGGGTTTTTTCTCTTTTACATTGCGTTTGTTGTGCAGGAATTCTGAAGGGATGCAGTGCTTTTGGGGGATGTCATTATGGCTGGTGAAAGCTACGCACATAAAGGTTAGCTTATTTTAAGCTCTATATTATGCGTAGAGCAGCACTAAGAGGAAAATTAGGTAATGAGTTGGAATGCATATGTTATACTCAGCCACACAGTTCATCACAAGTGCCCTCAAATACATTTTATACATATACCCTATTTTAAGCCCTACATTTCTATGCAATTACAGAATTCTTTATGCAGTACGTACATTTCATATTGTGATTATGACATACAAGATTTTATCAAGACTACACAATATTTATTTAGTTTAAGAGATATTTTATTAATTTATAATTTTTTCTTAAACAATTAATTTTAATATCTAAAAATATTAATTTATAAATTAATTTTAACCTATTAAATAATAAACAACAGTTATTGTGATTATGACATACAAGATTTTATCAAGACTACACAATATTTATTTAGTTTAAGAGATATTTTATTAATTTATAATTTTTTTCTTAAACAATTAATTTTAATATCTAAAAATATTAATTTATAAATTAATTTTAATCTATTAAATAATAAACAACAGTTATTTTATCAATTATTAATTTTTTTAACAATCAAATTAAATAAAATCAATATCTTCAAAATTACTATTGTGTAGTTTTAATATCTAGCTGTATAACTATAAGTACGCAGTTGAGGTGATTGTCATTATTAAATTTGTTATCTTCACTAATTTAACTTTAATTCTATTAATTTATAATTTTTTTAAACAATTAATTATATTATTTTAAAATTTCAATTTATAAATTAATTTTAATTTATTAAATATTA